GTGATGAAACATTAAACTCAGTCTATCAAAAGTGGCTTGGTCTCTGTTAATGTCGTTTTATTTTTTTTTAAATTGACAAGATTGATGACCAGGGAGGTTGCAATAGTCTGGTAGCTAACTATAGTTATATAATCAAATATAACACATGAGAAATGCTCATTGCAAATTCCTATTCTACTGAGCGATTGCACAGCACACAACTCTGATCATAACGCCATTGTCGACCACAATATTTCTTTATCCAACTCTCTTGCGGGTTCGGTTGGAGGGTCAGATTCAAAATGATTCTGAAAGGATCAATGAGAAACGTGCATGATCAGAGTGTCTTGATCCCCGAATACCAGGAGTTGCCGCCTGATTTTAGCCTGTCCGCAGGCCACGTCTTAGAAGCGTGGTCCTTCCATTCACATACAGTGAGTGCGGCTATACTCCACCAGGGGTGCCCTTTCCCGAATACGCGCTTGGAGATGGCTCCTGATAGGTAGCGGTCATGCAACAAATTAGAAGTAGATCTCCATCCTGTCACATCCAAGTCCTTCAACATCACTTTCCTAGTTACAAGCACACGGTGCCATTTCTGACTATCGATTTCAGTCAACATGACTTGTATCATATATTGCAAGTTGGATAAGGTTGATTTATCCAAAACCGTGGGCTCTACTCGGAGGGACAGACATACAGACCCATGCCACTCGGCACCAACCCAGCCAACAGGGTCAGACAGTCTAGCAAGCTCAGCTATGACATGGAAACCAAGGAAAGTATACGCAAAAGGCTACTGAAAGGCACATGACTGGTCCTCCTCCTGGTAAGGTGTTGCAAGGAACTTTTCGAAATCTGCTGTAATGAAAGGAGACACCGTTTCAATGTCGTCGATAAGAAGAATGCGTCAAGCTACAGAACGAACTATCCTCGACTCGGCAGGAAATCGCATCCCTTGATGCCCAGAAAAAATTATTGGTAAGAAGCCAGAGTGGCTTATTAGGATACTGGACTTTAACCCAGTTCTAGGAAGAGGTCTGAAGGGTGTTGCGTAACTGCATTACCTTTTTAATCTAATTTAAAGGCTAGGTCGCAAGGTTGTCTATCTTTTTCAGTACCGTAACCACTCTGGTCAACTAGGTAAACAAAAGCTATGTGTAGCCCTTTCCAGAATATATAGATGGTGCGTCAAATTAGCTTACCCAACGTAAAAAGCTCAGCCAGTAATATATCGTAAGAAACTCGCCAGTTGAAAAAAAGAGATCTGGTGCACTAAACTAACAGTTTACAGATAATCTACTAATATGCAATGGAAGTTGGCGCTAGCTTTTCTCTATATATAGATATATCCGACATGTATATCTAGGTCGATTTCAATCATATTTTCAATGGACTCAACCTGGTCGATAGTATAGGTTAACTTGGTAGCCCGGGAGAGATAGAAAAAAAGAGGAAGGAGCTCAGCAATTATTCGGAATCTGCATAGGCTGGAATAAAAGAAATAGTTTTAAAGGTTGGCGATACCTCTGCACTTGCTCCCTGACTCCTGCACGTACTCTGGGTATTAAGAAGACTGACCCGTTCTACGACCTTCAATCTCAGCATATAATCTATTTGTCTATCATAAGGAGATATCCCCATGTCGACTGGCTTTTGGTATATCAACCAGCTGGTAATCTACTAGACAGTTCTATATACAAAGGATGGGTCTACTAAACGGAGTCCGCATACCTCTTACTACTTGAGTGTCAGTAGGATGGCTCGTCGATTAGCCAGCGATTAGCCACTGACGATGAATTCACAGTTTGCAGACAGCAGAGAATGTTGTTGGACGACTCTCAGCCCTAGGTTTTGAGGCCGCTCGAACCCTCATAAATCCGGAGAAAAACCTCGCCATATCGTCATAATCATCCACTTCGCCAACCCAGCTCACATATTGATCCGGTCGGACAATAACAGCGGCGCCATGGCTAGGGTCGATACCATAGTTGAGATAGGCTTGTCCATGCCCCTCATGGTAAGATTGATCATCAACGAAGACCTTCCAGTAGTCCCAGCCCGTCCGCTCATCAAATGGATGGAAAGCCCTCGGCAAATCGAGCAGTTCCAGGCCTGTCCGTGGTCCAGCGTGGACCGTAAGCACTTCAATAACGCTGTCAACCGGCTGCCCAGGCGGAGTATATTGGCGAATGAATGAGTCCCGACTGCCTAGTTTGGCACCAAGGCTTTGCATGCGCTGCATATTTCGGGGCATGCTAAGCTGGCCAGGGAACACGATAATCCGCCATCGTCCGTTACTTTTTAAGAGCTCCTGCAGATGCCATGGACGAGCGTCAGATTGGTTCAGCACCTTGAAACTTGGCATCCGCTTGCCGATGTCGATCTTTGTAGCCAGATGCGTCTTGCTGATCACTCTTCGTTGGAGGCTGCCAGCAACCTCAGTACCATCTCCCTGTTCAACAGAGTCGCCTTCTTTCGCAACGATGACGCTAGTACCATAATTGATCACTGCTCATATTAGCCTGCGAATCGAGACTGGGAATCATAAAACCTACCAGTTCCGCTGGCAAATTCATTTCCCTTCTCCATTGCGTTTTTGAACTCTTCCATGTTGACACCCTCGTCCGCAGCGTCCTTTGCTGGACGACTTGAAAATAATCTTGACAGCCGGTGGTCAAAGTCAATGAGATCTTGCGCAACCCGTCTTCTCTCTGATTGATATGTTTTCAGAATCGACCCCTCACTGTATCCTTTGACTACATGCGCGATCTTCCATCCTAGATTATATGCTGTGCAAGCGGTAAGTGGCGATGCTCCAAGAAAGCATATCGTGTATACGTACTGTCCTGCATGCTTACATTCATACCCTGCCCTGCCTTGGGCGAATGCGTGTGCACCGCATCACCAGCCAGAAAGACTCGCTCTCGTAGAGAAAAACGGTCCCCCACCCGCTGCCCAATCTGGTACGCAGTCCACCAGTCGCAGTACGTATAGTCTATCTTATATGGATGCATGATGCGCTGCGCAGACTGCAGAATAATCTCGGGAGTAATCCACGAACGGTCCACCTTGTTTGTTGTCTGCGCATGCCCAGTCGTCTGCAACTGGATGTACAGTCGAACAAGCCTGTTTTCCCGTGGGATGACCATAACGGTCCCAGCATTGGCCGAGTGAATGGCACACCTATGGCGGATATCTGGGAAATCCGTGATGGGTATAATGTCGAGTACGCCCCAGATATAGTCCGTGGAGTCACCCTCTAACTTGAAGCCAAGCTGTCGCCGCACCCAGGAATGCGCGCCGTCGCAACCCACCATGAACTTCGCTTTCACTATCTCGCCGGAGCGGGCATTGTTATTGGCCTTCGCTGCACAAATGAGATCATCCGTGTCGTCAGCAGCAGCCAAGTTACTTCGGAAAAGCCCGTCACTGATCACTGACTGCGTGCCGTCGGGTCTTCTGTAGTGCTGCTGTCGTTGAGCAGGAGCAGCTTCTTCCTCCGACAATGTGCGCAATGTGACCTTGATCGGGTAATCCTCGAAATCCGCGGCTTTCGACTCGTCGAACTCGAATGTAGTCGGCAACGTGCCACGCTCGACCGAAATGTCGCTATGCTCTTTGATCGAGTCGAGAAAGAACCGCTCAATGCGACCCTGATGCAGCACCACCTGCTGAAAGCGACTGATACCGGGGATGGTATCCGGAATTCGGTCCGATCGTCGCAGAACGCCATCCTTGTCGGGGTTCCAGAAACACATCTCGAGCAGGTGGTTTGACTCTCTCCAGGCACGGTGGGCAAAATCAAAGGAGTCGAAAATCTCTAGGGTGCGACATTGTAAGCCATCTGCCTGGCCATTGAAGATCTGCAGCTCCATTAATACAGCCTTGTGTCCAATGTATGGCAAACACCCACCTTGGTGCCACGCTTGTCCACAATTCTCGTCTTGATGTCGAATCGGCTCAGCCAGTTTGCCAGCATGAGGCCTGCGGGCCCGGCCCCAACGATAAGAACGTCCACATGGTCTTCTCTGGCTGGTAGCACACTGGACATGCTGATAGAGGTATGGACAGTCGACTTAGGTTGGGCTATGGATGGAGACTTCGAAAACTGAAACGCCAGCGCCTCTTTATACCTGTCACCTACAGTTTAATATTTGTCATGAAGCGGAAAAAATTTGTTGGCGGAGGATACTTTTGTTGCCAAGTCACAGCGTCTGCCCCGCAGAATATGCAGGCATGCCCTTGGCAAGACGCCAAAACTCTGGGCCAATGCCATGGTGCTTTTCTCACGGCCGAATTCGCGTTTAAAAACACCGTTGGGTATCGCTGTCAGATCTATCTTCGGACGAAAATCTGGGGGCTTTTAAGGTTTCCCGACTTCTAGCTTCGGCCTTCTCTAGATTAGATAATGTTAGGGTAATTGAGGTACAGCAATCATATACTGGGTTGAATATTGCTGTATTTCCTGACACAGCAGTAGCTAGGTTGGCTGCGTTGGTAATTAGAACCTTAGGGTATCTATATTGCCCTAGGACGATGGTGCTGCGACGTGTCCCTTGGAACCAGAATCCACTGGTCCAATCAATCGAGTCTCGATGTAGTAAGAGACTATCTAAGTGGGCCCGCGGCCTAAAATAACGTCAAGGATCTATATATTTGCAAAAGTTAGACTCTTCACAGGCTGCGGAATGAATTTGTTCAGACATACCAGTGTACCTTCGCTATTCGACCTAAATATATCTCTCTCTGTGTTCTTATAGCTCACAAATATTCCGGTCTCGACTGATATACTAACTCATCAGAGAGAACCCTTGTCTATAATGACTGAGATATATTCGACGCGATGATTATCGAATTATGACATTTACCACCGTCCTTCGGGGCTGGTTCAGCTGCATGAGTCAGCATCCAGCGCATTTAAGCCACCGACGTCCTCTATGCTGCCACATCTCGTTCTTCGCTAGTATTTAGTTTCCTCGACACAGCAAAGCTACCACGAAGACCAATACCACTAGAGAATGAACGAGATTGCCGCCGCACCTACAATGTCCGCACAGGAAGACCTAGACCAACGCTCGGGTGAGACACACTCCGAACCAGCTCAAGTTGACGGGGCTCCTCACGACTCAGACGACGAGCCCATGGTTTACGAGATTCCCCATGACTACGCAGTGTCGGCGCGCCAGGAGCGTGACCACCTCCTCGCCGCGGGTGTCTCTCCTGATTCTGTCATCTTACAAAGCGAAATAGGCAATCAAATCCCCCAGGTGGAAGGCGAGTCCCCCGCCGACTTTGCCAAGCGTTACGCCGAGACTATGAACGACATGATTGCTCACGGCGTTTGTATTCTAAACGATCAGTGTATTGCTGATGCGGTGCCATCTGGATTTGAAACCATAGATGGAAAGTTTTTCGATTTGGGCCCCGGATCGGGCGCGACGAAGGGGGAGTTTCGAGAGTTTAGTCGGTGGTTCGACGAAACGTTGGAAGCAGGACAGATGCATGAGGTGCCGGAGAAGTGGCTCAAGTTTGAGAAGCCGGCGGAACGGAGATTTGACTTGTAACAGTGGGGAGAGGCTATGGTATGATCATGGATCTCAGATTTCCTACCTCTTGGGACCGCCCGGTTTCTATCATGACGTGCGGAACGCAGTCTGGTATACGAACATGTATCACAAGTCCGTGCCAATAGGAACGGGTATGCAGTTCTAGCTTCAGTTACCAAAGAAAATGGTCGGCTCGCCCTGCTCTCGTGTCTCTTCAATAGACTAAGGGCCTTGAGGAAGGATATTCTCCCTACTCAGCTCCAGCCAAGCGCGGAGATTTTCAGTCTTAACGCTTTTATACCAGATGCCCACTGCACAAAGTAGACAGCAGGCAAAGCATACGAAAGAAGGAAAGGAAAAGACCACCCGCAAGGCAGCCTTGTCTTGGGGCTGAATTTCTTACATCAGATTTTAACTTCGGTCGGTTTTTGGGGCCTTATCTCCGTCTCACCAGATTCATAAGCATGGCTATACGAACTACATTGTGGCCGGTTCCGACCGTATTGCAATCTAAAATCGGACATAAGCAAGGCCGGAGGTAATGGACAGAGTCAAGATAGACCTTCCTGAAATCCATGAGGGGTTATAAAAGGAGGATGGATGTTCTTGATGATATGCATATTATCACAGCCCGAAACCATAAACCCTTACTGATTTCATACTTGCAACACCATGACCACCAACTACGTCAAAGACCAGGGCCCAGATTTCAGAAATGAGATCCAGCGCGTCGCAATTATCGGTGTAAGTCACGCATACGAAATCGCTCCCAAGTCTGTCAACTAACCAAAGCTACCTAGGCCGGAGGCACCGTGGGCAAGCCTATCGCCCAAGAACTCCTCAAAACAGGCAAGCACACGGTAACCGCGCTGACTCGCGTCGGGGGCCAAAACACTTTACCCGAAGGCATCCAGACCGTGCTTGTCGACTACCACGATGAGACAAGTCTCGTGAATGCCCTCAAGGGCCAGGACGCCGTGGTAATCACATTACCCGTCACCGCAGCACCAGACACACACTCCAAGATCGTACAAGCCGCCGCGAAGGCTGGGGTTAAATACGTGATGCCGAATGTCTGGGGCTGCGACGCCGCAAATGACTCTCTAGTGAACAGCGGACTAGGCTGGGAGCGGGTCCCGAGGTCTTTCGAGGAAATCGAGAAGACGGGTGTTTCGTCGTGGATGGCGCTTATCTGTGGGTTCTGGTATGAGCATAGTGTGAGCCTTGGACCCGCTACTTTCGGGTTTAATTTTGCGGAGAAGAAAGTGGTGTTCTTTGATGACGGGAAGACTCCGATGAACGTTAGTACTACTGCGCAGTGTGGGAGAGCTGTTGCGAAGCTGTTGAGTTTGAAGGTGTTGCCTGAGGATGAGAACGATCAGAGTGTGACGCTGAGTCGTTGGTTAAATAAACCCGTCTATATCTCCAGCTTCCGGGTGACTCAGAAGGAGATATTTGAGAGTTGGAAGCGGGTCACCGGTGAGAAGCATGAAGATTGGACGGTTGTGTATGAGTCCAGCCGTGAACGATACGAACAGGCACTCGAGAGAGTAAGGAATGGAGACCACGGTGCCTTTGTTCAGGCCATGTACTCCCGTGTCTTGTTTCCAAATGGAGACGCGGATTATGAGAGCAAGCATGGTTTGGCTAATGAACCTCTTGGTGTTCCTCAGGAGGATCTCGATACGCAGACCAGGAATGCGAAGGCAATGGTTGATCAGGGGTACGATTATATGACCAAGCGGAACTGACATGCCGTCTATTCTATGGACAGTATCCCCTTTGACAGAGGTTGCTAGATTGAGTAACAGGACATTCAGACCTTGAATTTAGATACAATAACTCGCATCATCCCTATGGTTTCTTCGCTGTGTTGAATCTTGAGCTGAGAATAGAACTTCACTGTTTGACTAATCGAAGATTTTCCCTGGGTTGAGCAAGAAACTGGAATGATCATTAGCACTGTACAAGCAATAACCCGATTGTGACTTACTGAGGATCCAAACTGCGCTTCAATGTGCGCATAACCCCGACAGTTTCAGGTCCCAGCTCCTCTAAGAGACACTCCTTTTTCCCGAGGCCAATACCGTGCTCGCCCTTGAAAGCCATTAGCCAACCTCCTGTATATAAAACAAGTCATTGGATGATGGATAATATTTACTTACCGAAACGGTTCCCTCCATCTCCACAGCCCTATGTACCATTGCCAGCACGCAGTCTCGAACAGATTGCTTCTGTTCTGGATCGTCCGGATTATACATCACAGCTTGGTGGAAGTTCCCATCCCCGACGTGGCCTAGGACGCTCGAGAACAACCCTAGCTGGCCTGATTCCTTCTTAGAGAGGTCTGGAGCCGTTAGCCAATAAACTCAGAAAGGAGATATTAGTATACTGTACCAATAATCTCTGCCATTCTCGATAACGGCACAGCAACATCCGTAGACCAGATCTGAGTGCCCTCAGGTCGCACCGCAAGCATTGCCCACAAAGATTCTTTTCTCGCCGCCCAAAGACTGTTCATTTCCTCCTCACTCTTTGCAAACTCGAAATTCGCTCCTCCGTGTTGCGAGCTGATTGTCCGAACTCGCTCCACATCCTCTTCTATAGCTCTCGGTGTTCCCGAGAATCTGCCTGCCGCTTAGCGGTATCCGACATTGTAGCTTGGGGGAACATACTTGAATAGCAATGTGGGTTTCTCCTCCCAGAGTCTACCCCCTGCTCCTCCATTCTTATTGATGACCATCATCTGAGTCTCGTCCATCATCTCCAGAGCAGCAATTTGGATTCCAGTACGCATGATTTTGGATGCGGTAGCCGCTGCCTCACGGATTGAAGGAAATGTGGCAACGGCCACATTTTGCTTCTCTGGTATGGTCGCCAGCTTCAGCGTGATTTCTGTAATCATGCCGAGTGTCCCTTCGCTCCCTGTGAACAGGGATGTCAGGTTGTATCCAGCAGACGTTTTTCTTCTTGCTGTCAGCTACGTGTGCACTATAATTGTCACGAACAATACATACCGTGGCCGATGTCTTGTTTTGATTACGCTTCCATCCGCCAAGACAACTGTGACATTGACGACCCAATCTTTCATTGTACCGTATCTCACGGCATTTGTTCCGCTATATATCGACTTTTAGAAGGGGCCCCAGAATAGCTGCAGATGGTGTGGCTAAGAGTAAACTTACCTGCAGTTGGTTGCGACCATGCCGCCGATCAATGCCTGCAACTTTATTAGATCGCTCTATAAACGCCCGAGTGGGGAATGGTACCGTGGGACTGGGGTCCAGTGGTAAGAAAAGACCACTATTCTTGAGGAGAGTATTGAGATCAACCCAATTCACCCCCGGTTGGACTACGACGTCCATACTAAACGAACAATTAGCTTCGTTTCGTATGTGTTTCCTTTGAAACAGCGTACTCATCCGGATGGAACGAGATGATCTTCTTCATATCCGAGAAGTCAATGGTTAATCCTGAGTACGGCGCCACAAAATGCCCTTCGACGCTTGAGCCACCAGCAAATGGAACTGCGTGGGTCGTGAGTACAATATCCTGACCAATTCAAGAGCCTCGGAAGATAACTCACTCATTGGAATCTTAAAAGCAGTACAAATCTTGGCAATAAAGGCCACATCCTCCGTACTCTTCGGCCTAGCAACAGCCACCGGCCTGGACTCACAATTCGAAGTGGACAATTCAGAATATCCGTGAATCGCAATTTCTTCCTCATCCCAGGAGACCGAATCCTCTCCTAGAGTCTCCTCAATTATCTTGATTCCCTACCATAGTTCATATCAGCATACAACACGGAAACAGATAACGGCCTCCGAGTATCGGTACCTTTATCATAGTCTCTTTATCCGCATATTGAAAGCCCTTTGCACCATCGACCTCTGGTGACTCTACCGGGGGTGAATCTGAGGATTGCCATTGCGAAACCAGGAGACACCCTCCAATCCCAGTGACGAGACCCGTGAGGCCCCATTGCACGGAGCTGCGACCGTTGGAATCGGCGCGAGCTTGCCGCGTGGCCTCTACATGATTGTATCGAGCGAACAGCGTCCGGGCGGGGATAGTTGCTCTTCCACCCGGGCGGAACCTGGGGAATGGAATTGCTCTTGGTATAGGTCGCATTAGGAGTTTTCTTCTCTCTCTCCTTATCACTGTGAGAGAGCAATGTATGTTCCAAGTTGGAATGTACCAGTATTGATTCGACTCGGAATGTTGTCCGTGGTGAAGTGCCTCGGATCCCTTGCGCGGCGCGGCTTTTCCCGATCGGGAATATCCGATGCAAGCCGTTGTGTTCAAGTCTAGTTGGCCAATCCCACCCTACCCCTGTTCTTTCTCCGCACCGGCTGTTTGATATTGCGCTGGGGTTATAAGTAGCTGTGAATTTTGTTGTGCTTTTCATTTGAGGAGTGATATTTCTAAAGGATGTGTGGTTAGAATAGATCTTGCTAGGGATTATGCTTCATGACGAAAGCAAAATATATATATAGATTTTAACAGTGTCGGGTAGGGCGCTGGTTCTATGCGCACCTTTATATACTCGTGAAGCACAAGCGTCAACATGAATTAACAGTATGCACACTCTTCCACTGTGCTACTAGCTTCGTCAACATGCATATTGTGTCCGCTACTTCTTTACCGAAGTCCATAGTGTAGTCTTAGCGCACTCATGAAGAGGGAGGCGATATTACCACATATGAGGCCCAGACAGAACATGATATTAAGGGACACAATAGCGTTCCTACGCTGTTTCCATCGGAAAGTCAGTATCTGCGACTGCAAAGCTATCGTATCCTGTGTGGTTCTGATAATCACTATACTGTCTATGTATGTGGAGTCAAGGAGTGATGTGCCGTGGTCCTGCTATCGGCAAATTGGGCTTTTAGTCGTATCATGATAGTCGCAAATGTATAGTGCCGTGTTCTCAAGAATAGTCCCGACGATTTGACCAGACGTTAGGCTCGGTCGTGGCTTTAACAACACCAAGGCAGAGACATATCCCGGAATTCTAAAGTAATTGTTTTGGTGTGCGGAACCAGGCAACGATACAGATGCTGCATCGCTGTTGCTCTCTGGGCCTCCAATCGCGTATCTCAATCTAGCGGAATTCAATTTCGCGACACATGCGATACTTCCACCATGGCCAGACCCATGGTAGGCTCATTTTCAGTTTGTTAGTCTTATCTAGTGATTGTACGGCGGGTGGCCGGTCGTTCTGGCTGATTTTCTTGCCTTGCTCAATGAGAAGGTTTCCCTGTTGCACTCACCTGGGCGTCGACCGAGAACCCAGTATTGTCTGTCTCTGGTGGTATCGTGTGCCTAAGTTGGTAACGAAGAGCCTGCAGAGTGCCTTCTTTAGCTCAACGGCTTCGAGGGCTTTTCCAGAGTACACGCACAACAGCCCAGCAGAGTTAGAAGGAATTAGCAATAGAAACGCGAGGTGGCGTCCACTGGAGCGCCTGATGCATTGTCTACATCGACTGCACTTTTGTACGCTCCTCGCGGACCATGGCACTTTTACATGAGCGAAGACGACGGCAATTTTGCTTTCTGGTGATAGCGGTTGAAGTCTCGTCTAGAAGAAGGTAATGGGCAAGGTCAGGTGTGCTTGGGAGTTGTATGGCAATCATCATTTCCCAATTTCTTTAATAGCATGGCTGATTGCCGACCGTGGGAATGAAAGTTTTCCAAAGTACGCCCGGAGCTACCGGGAAGTCATCAACGATTGGGTGCGTATTGCTTATTTGCGTTATTAAGCATGAATACGGCGTCAAAGCAGGTTTCAGAAGAAGATGCAACAGTAAGCGTACCTGTTGATGGTCTACTAACACAGGTGAGACCTCCGCTGCAGTGGCAATAAACATGAACGCAGGATCTCTCAACGCCTAGAATGGATTCTATGTCTCGCTCGTTCATGCAACTTACATAGGGCGGATACTCAATCATTCATGACATGTCTTGCAGCAGGCCAACGGGCCGTGTGTGCTACTCAATCTTATTTGCCCATTGGGATGACCGTGGAAAATCCACTGCGTAATTAAACTTGCGAGATTTGTTGTCTCCACTATTCTTATGACCTGCCAGCCACGTCACGCGATGTGCAGCCCCTTGCAGGAATACCCAGCCATTATATTCTTTCTTCATGCCCTGGATACGCCATCTGATCGTCTGGATCGATCGGTAAGCCGAAAGGAGCGCTAATCACCCGTTGCCGTATGTGAGCTCCTCCCTGACCCACAGATTGAGCTTGGTCTGTACACGTCTCGTTCAATTTTCGCCGTACACCTTTCAGCGGATCTTAGCTGATCATTCCATGGTCCCCCAGTGGGGGCAGCTTGGCAGTGCTTCTGCATTCCCTCGCCAAGGAAAGCTACACGGATTCTCCGCGTATGAAACACCTGACAAGTGAATACCTGGAGTTTGACTCCCTCGCTGGCTAGTCCATGGAATATCACGCACATGCATATTATGGGGAGCTGGACATTCGGAGGAGAGATCATAAAAGCGACCGACCTCACCTTGTGCTTCCCCTATACACATCATCGTAACCTGTACGTACCGGTTCTATCGACCGTATATTCCCAAACTCGTTCTACCTCCAATACACGCTATATTAGGGGACTAAATGGCTCGAGTGTGAGAATCCTCGGTTTAGGCAATATTCTCACTTCATGCCGCCCTATCACGTAGATAGAGATCTGATCGAACGTTTGATTGTGCGCCATGGGTATCTAAGCATGCC